AGATGAAACCTGTAACAGATCCCAACAGCACAAAGTGATTTTTCCTCTGAGTGATATTTAAAATGGTGGAAGGTTCTGCCCCTTGTTATAACATTCCTCAGTTTGTTTTTTTAACACTGTCACCTGATGTCAGATTAGGACTACATGTATACCTGTGCATAAACTAGACTGCACTGTCTAACGTAGAATGTTACAGGGCATTGCTGACCCCTAATGACATATGAAATGCTGGAAGATGAGCAGAGTTGTTTCGGAACAGACAGAGTAACCCAGTTCTGCTGCCATAGATATGCTGATCACGGTAATACAGGTAAACTCTCTGGACGGACTCCTTACAAAAAGACAGGATTTTCTTCTTCCATAAGGGGAGACTGTATCCTATTTCCCTCATGATCTCCTTAAGTGATCTTTTCACCTAGCTGTCAGAACCATCTCTTGTCTACCTCAGTGTAGGTCAAGAAGCCGAGTAGACGCTGTCTAGGGGGGTGGGGTATAAATCAAATGAATGAATGAATGAATGAATAAAATAAGTAAGTATTCAAATGATGAATTCAAAGTGTGTCAAAGTGATGTCAAACAGTTCAACAGAATAATTATACAGTACTGACTTTTGGATCACTTGGCTTCCTAGTTTGGAAAAGTTACTTTTTTTGGACTACACTTCCCAGAATCCCTTCAGCCTGATATTGATGAAAACAGTCCACTGCCTGCACTTGGCTGTGGGTTTTCTGGGAGTTCATCTCCAAAAAGGGAAATTTTCCAAGCTGTAATTAGTTTCTTTTGGGTTCCCAGCCCCAAAGACCTGTTGGTGACCCATAATGAGAGATTGTGGGCAACACGATCGCAGTGCGGCCATGCCATACTTTGCCAAGAGTAAGGAGTCAGTCTGGAACACAGAATCTGTTTGCCCTTTAAAATGTACTACTTTGATCAACCTATCCATATCATCAGAACTGGGTTACTGTCCCTGCAGGCTCTTCCATGTAAGTCAAAGAGGATAGTATGTATACAAAAGAATAAATATGTGACTTCAGAAACGATAGTATTCAAAATCCCTGGGGGAATGGTTCTCTTCCTCAGACTGTCAAATTCTAGAACTCCAAATCCCAATGTGAAGCAACTGAACAAAACTCATCAAGAGTTTCAGCTCCATTTCCTGTGACCCGAACACGGACAAAAGCTTTCTACCATGTGCTGTATGTCAGTCCACTCATCTGCTCAAGGATATTGTTGTTATTCAAATACAGTCTTTTGACCCTAACAGGGTCTTTTCTTTGGTTGTGTCTCATCCGCTGATGACTATTTTAGGAAGACTTGACCATTGCTCACCTTGTAACTAAGAAACAAGGCAAACAGTTCTGACCCGACCTCACCCTTAAGTCCTTCAAACCCTCAAATTATAAACTTCAAGCTTTTAACTTCAAGCTTATAAGCATGCTGACTAAAATGGAATATAAGAGCCACTCCAGACAAAAAGCATGCATTGAAAGGAGTTTGGTTATAGCAGGTCTTCTTGGGAGTCTTTTATTTGCATTTTGTTCTCTAGCCTTCACGATGTTTACCAAAGGAAGGATGGAAACCAAAGGTGAACAAGAGGATACATCCCACTTTCTGTATTAACACTCTGTAATGATAGCAAAGGCATCCAATGACAACTATGGCAGAATAAAGCTAGTGGTGATTGAGAAAAGTTTCATTCAAACGAATATCACCAAAGCTGCTGGACAGCTCAGTGGATTAGGTATTTGGCTTCAGAGGTAGATGCTGGGAGTTCGATTCCCCACTGTGCCTCCTTAAGAGGGGCTGGACTTGATGATCTATAGGGTCCCTTCCAGCTCTGCAGCTTTATGATGAAGACGACGATGATCCAATGGAAACATAAGTTTGCAAACTTTGGGACTGCATAAGCCTTCTACTTGCCCCCCACCCCCGCCCCCCAGATTGTGTGTAACTCAAAAGGACACTGTGGCACGATTGGGGGGGGGGAAGAGAGAGAGATTACACTATCTGCTTACATGAATCATTTTGGGAGACCAGCTGCCCAGAGAAATGAGAAGAGCCCACTAGATGGCACCCGAGTGTAATCATGACTTTCCATCCCAGCAGGAGGAACAAAACAGCAGGGGAGTGGAAGAAGGAGGCCGACCCAGGCGCCCAGGGTCTTTGTTTTCGCCTCTGCTAATAAGCCTCTAATTTGAACATCTGCTGCTGAAAATAGGGACATTAATAGGTCGTCTCTGCACAAAACAAGAATAATAAAAAGTGCTCTCCCAGAAAATGCTGGCGCGCTCGAACCTTAAGGTTCCACTCAAAATACCTGGAAACCTCTCAGGTTGCTAAGCTATTGATGCCGTTTGCAAATTCCAAGCACAACCACTGAAAGGTGTAGACGCTTTAAGTTGTGTGAAAAATATTCTGTAGCAACATCTCTCAAATGCTAAATGGCCTACAGGAACACATTTTTAATCATTTAGCCCAATTAAATGAAGTTTACTAAATAAGGCAATCCATACTGTATGTTAATTCACATAACTTCATTCATATATTCGCTCAGACCCATTTCTGTCTTTTTGCATGCATTCCATCTTAAAATATGCACTTGTGTACATATTTAATCCCAAAATATCCAGATCATTTTGATGCAGGTTTTGAACTGCACCACAAAATCTGAAAAGCTGTAAAACACTTAATCCAAGGCATCTACCCGTGTCACTCACGCGAGCCAGGAGGTGAGGCTGAGGAGCCTAACGCTGAGGGAGGCCCGGAAAGAAAAGACAAGAAATCGGGCCTTCTCGGCGGTGGCTCCTCGCCTCTGGAATAACCTTCCCCCTGATATTCGCGCGGCCCCCTCGCTGGGTATTTTCACAAAGCAACTAAAAACACTGATGTTTCGGCAGGCCTTTTCCCCCCCTAGTTAATTCCTGACTCCTCTCTCCTTCTCTCTCCTAGTGTTTTATCCAATTGTTGAAAGTTTCCCTCTTTGTAAAATGGTTTTTATTATTGCTGTTCCCTTTGTTGTGAGCCGCCTAGAGTGGTCAATCGACTAGATAGGGCTGCAAAACACTTAATCCAAGGCAAGGATTTAGAGAGGGGGGAAGCTGCCTCAATACTGATGCATTCCAACCAGCACTTACAGTTCTGATTAGCAGTGGCTCCCTGGGGCTTCATGCAGAATTCTTCCCTAGCCCTTGCTGAAGATCACCCGTGTCCATCTATCTTCCAAGTACAAACCATTCCAAAATCAAGTAAGACAAAGTTCAGGGTGGCCAGTAGTGTTCTGATTAGCCTCTTAGACAAGGCAATCTTGCTTTAAAATGGAGATGAAACAGAGAACCATTGAATATTCCCTAATTTTGCTCAACTTTTTTTTTTAAAGTTCAGTGTCTCCAACTGGCCCAGCAACCATCACTGTTGAAAAAGAACATAGTCAGGATATCCCACATCAGTGCTTGGTATCTACACTTGAAAGGCAGAAAAATGGAAAGGAGACTCTAGAATCAGAGTGGGCAACTGGTAAGTCTACAGAGGCCCTTCAGTCTCTTAGGCCATGCTGTCTGCAGGAGATGAGAGCTGAAATTCAGCAATATCTGGTGAACCATAGGGTGCCTAAGAATCATGGCCAGTCAGAACCCCAACACTCAGACAGGCAAATGGATGGTAGAAAGTAGTTTCCTGGGCTCCTAAAAAGAGCCAGCTTTAAACTAGCAATGGCCAAATGCTAGACAAAAGAATTCCAACCACCTTCAAATATGGAGATAAGAGGCCTTCCCTACCATTACAAAAGATTTCCCAAGATACATGCTGGATAACTCAGTAGGTTAGGTCTCTGGCTGTGGAATCAGAGGTTGGGAGTTCAGTTCCCCACTGCGCGTCCTTGACAAGAGCTGAACTTGATCCATAGCGTCCCTTCCAGTTCTAAGATGATGATGATCTCAGTATGGACATATGTTTTAGACAGGTTTTGTTAAAAAAAAAAACTTTAGCTGCCCTTCTCTGCAAATCGTATTGCCGTGTAATTCTGCAGCTACTGTGAGCAAGCAAGTCAGAATCCAGACTAGTTAAGGTGCTAAACCCAGAATGGGGCAACAACGAAGACTAATGTGATGGATTCTTGCTGCTACACTGTCAAAAACAGTGGATCATATGTACGGAGAAGGCATGCATCAGGACAGATGAACCAACGGTGTGAGATAAAGCTCAATTCAATCTATGGCAACAGAGGGAGTAAGCTTTCTCTCTCCTTGCTATTTGGAGACTTTTTTAAGTCATCAGGTTGGTCCCTATGGAAAAGAGGGTGCCAGACTAGATAATGCTTTCCTTTAAAGGGGACGTGGTGGCGCTGCGGGCTAAACCGCAGAAGCCTGTGCTGCAGGGTCAGAAGACCAAGCAGTTGTAAGATCAAATCCACGTGACGGAGTGAGCGCCAGTCACTTGTCCCAGCTCCCGCCAACCTAGCGGTTCAAAAGCATGCAAATACGAGTAGATAAAAAGGGGCCACCTCAGTGGGAAGGTAATAGCGTTCTGTGTCTAAGTCGCACTGGCCATGTGACCACGGAAGATTGTCTTCGGACAAAATGCTGTCTCTATGGCTTGGAAACACCCCCTAGAGTCAAACACGACTGGACAAAAATTGTCAAGGGGAACCTTTACCTTTAAGGAGCAGTGGGTTCATATGTTCTCAAACCTAAACTCTCTTGATTATGGTGGGAACGTCAATTAACTGGCATCAGTGCAGGAACTGGTACAGAAAAAGGGCTTCGCTGCCAATTTACGGGATTAGACTGTTAGAGTAAAACTTAGTATGTACTCTTTTCAAGGGAAGTCCATTAATTCCATTACAGACACTGTCAACTTTGACACCAAACTCAATCATTACAGTAAAGGAATGCATGGTTGCATTGCATAGGGCTGTTGAATACATACCATTTTGCCTCCCCTTTTACACTCTATACATGTAAATACCTCTGCTTAAAATGAAGATACTGCATTAGGTCACTTACCCATTAGGCAGCCTTCTGAGGACATAAAAAGCTGTGTATGAATGCCGGTATAGCTGCGGAAAGGCATTAAAATGAGAAAAAGAAGGAGGGGAAAGATTAGTTACGCAAAGTGTCAAGAAGTCTGTTTTCACTACAAACATGGCATGAAAAAAAACACACACACCCTGCAGTTCTGATATTTGTTTTGCATTTAATTGTACTTGCAAGGGAAAATAAGATATACAAACCAATTTAGTCCAGTCACAGATTGGAAGCCTGCATTAATACACCTCGTGCTGCTGTGTATTCTCTACACCTCACATCTTATTAGAACGTTTGGCAAGGCCTACCGCTCCAGATGCTCTGTGTCATTGCTATGGAGACCAGGTCTTTGATTATACTCAGGGCTCATGCTCCCAGCAATAGCTAAATTTGGAACAATCATTAATGAGGACACCTTGGTCTGCTAGACACAGGGTGCACAGATATAACTAGACACAACAGAAAAATAGCCCCCATCACATCCGTCTAATCTACTGTAAATATATCCAGGGATTATATTTGCTGACACTAGAGAGAGAGAAAGGAGTCATGATGCCCCTTTCCTACTGTTATATGAGAGGTTACTGGTTTAACCCTTGCATTTAAACCTGAAATTTGATCTTGCGGTTTATTGTCAGAGGTAACAACTTACAGCAAGTGAAGAAGAGCATAAATTGCTAACTGAGTAAAGCTTTTCTTCTTCTTTTTTTTGCATGTCCTGCAAGAACAGCCTCAAAGGGTAACACATTTGCATCAGCACGCTGGCACTGCGGGTGTGGAGATTATACTATAGTGATGCTAAGTAGGAAGAAGAAATATATTTATTACAATGAACAAAAGCTTGTTGTTTAGTGTAGCGAATGGCACCAGAGTAGACCTATTGAGTCTACTAATGGGGACCTAATGGGGACTCAGTGAGTCAACTCCTCTGTGCTCTCTTGATTCAAATGGGCCTACTATAATTGAAATTTACTTTAGCATAGTAAGTCATAGCTATAGTAGACCCATTTGAATCAATGGAACGCATAGAAGAGATGACTCTCAAAATTCTACTATTCAGTGGGCCTACTCTAGTATAATTTACTACTCCAAGCAACAGGATTTGGGCCATTATTGCATTAAAAGAAAACCACTGAATTCTAGTAAGTTGATCTTACTAACATCAAGATCCATTTTACACAATTCAACATCAAGAACAAAAAAATCTATAATTTTATGTTTGTTATATAGGTGTTTATTCTAAGCACTCATGCACACCACAGACTTAAACTGATTTCTTATAGAAAATCAGAACTATAGCACTGAGTAGGGGAAATAGAAGCCTATGACAAAGACTATGTCCATTGAACTATAATGCCCAGAAGTCTACATTTCAAGTGGATTTTTGCACAGATAAATGCATTTGCAAAATGATTTTTGTGTTTTACAGCTTGTCCATTTTAACCCAGTCATATAACCAGTTGTGTACTCAATTGTACAATCAGAGGAATATACACAGCATGAGTACACAGCTGCCAAGAAAACAGCTCATGTTGTCTGCTTGATTGCCCTTATGGAATGTAATAACACAACAGGATTCTAGACATGAAGTTTATTTTGGGGGTCTGGATGACATTCAAAAGACAGAGAGAAAATAAAACCACAATAAAGCTAGGCAGAATTCCTACAGTCAGCCTGTCCAATTATTTTCACCAAGAGTCTTCTGTAATCCAATATTCCACCCTGAATTCCATGTATCCCAAAGCAAAGGATACATATTCCTTCCATTATATCTTGAAATCTGGCAGTGTCCTTTTGGGAGATGAAACAGTAATGCTCAGACTTTAAGCAGAGCAGACAAAAGGCATTAGATAAAAGTCTGAAGGCAACTCTAGACTCCTGTGTCTTCTCTCCAAAGAAGACAGGTAACTTGACATCTGATTTTTCCCCTCCAGCAGATTTCTGGAAACACACAAGTCTTTGGACAGGTTTCATACACACTTTAAATAAGCAAACAGATGCAAAATGACTGGATATGTTCCTCCAGTCTCCTAAAACAGATGCTCTGATCATCTCTTTGATATGGAAATGCTGGTGAAACTTTTTCATAGTCTAAAGAAAAACAGCTCAGAAGCCGCTCATCTCTTGCCATGCAAATTTTCTGCTGATATGGAAGCGAATTTTGATTTTGCTTTTATTTGCACAGAGACATTTGATAACAGAAATGAAAACGGAAGAGGCCAATTCCATTCAGAAGCTATCCTTAATTTGCTCTTGAAACCTGGCAGCTCACAGAAGGTAGATATTTGCAAGTGCATGCACGACCCAACAGCATCAGCAGAAAGAGAATAACCCCAATGCTATTTATTTCCTTCCCGGTCGCATGGATACATGCAGGATCATTACCTCTCTTTCCTTATATGGAAACAAACAGTAATTAACAGTGGAATGTCTACTCAGTGTGATGTTGCAGACAGACTAGGACTCAGAGCCCTTCTTGTTGAGATCTTCTGTATAATAGGGGTAAGGCAGCATGATGGAGTAAGAGTGGATGGTCTATCATGTAATTTACTTTTAGCTCCTCATTTGCTGTGGATTTTAAACAATTCTAGATCATCCTGGAGACTGGGATGCAAGCTACTAGTTGCAATACAAACCTGAACTTGGAAAAGTTACTTTTTTTGGACTAAAATTCCCAGCATTTCTGAGACAAGGGCCTGGGGAATTCTTGTGGAGCAAAACACAACTTTTTCCTGGGTTTCCATAAAACCAAGCTGATTTGTCACTTCCAAATTACTTTTACGCTATGTAACTTTAAGAAGCAGATAGCATGGCAAAGATTTCAGAACTATATGAACAATAATGGGGCAAGTAATGAGTAGGATTATTAATGACATCGATGTGAAAGATGGAAGGCAGATGTCAAGCAGGTTTAAGGAATATGTCTCACGTTTTTTAATTTGATAGCTGTAATATTAGGGGGAACAAGATAAATATGTTGTAATCAGGACGTCTGTGCTGAAATATGCTGTAATTAGGAGTTTGTGGTAAATGTAACAAAAATAATAATTTTTTAAAAGCTGAAAGGAAAGGTCCTAAAATATATTCTCGAAGACTTTCATGGTTGGGATCTGATGGGTTGCTGTAGGTTTTTCGGGCTGTTTGGCCGTGTTCTGGAGGTTTTTCTTCCTAACGTTTCATCAGTCTCTGTGGCAAAGCATCTTCAGAGGACAGGAGTTAGCACTCTGTCCGTGTTCTGTTGTCATGTGTAGGACCTACAACAACCATCAGATTCCAGCCATGAAAGCCTTCAAGAATACATCTCCCAATTTCCCTTGTCCTGTCCTCTGAAGATGCTGGCCAGAGAGGCTGGCGAAACATTAGGAAGAAAAACCTCCAGAACACGGCCAAACAGCCTGAAAATCTTACAACAACCACTGGTCCTAAAATACTTAGGCAAAATTTATTAATAGACTTCAGCTGCTTTTGCGTCTGTGCAGAGTTGTGCAGTTAAAGGTTGCTTGCCCTCAGATGCCCCTGTAAAGTTACTGTGACTACAGCCACGCTCTTCACTGCTAGCTCATATGGCTGCAAGGCAAGGTTCTAACACAGACTCGAACGGTTGGGGGTCCCCCTCTCAGACCCTCATCCAGGACGGAAAGCATGTTCCACTTCACCCACCTTTTCCTGTCCACTCCCCAACCTGCCCTTCAGCATCTGTTCCTAAAAATACACGCTAAGGTAGATCAGCTGATTTGGAAGAACAGGGAAATAATTGCTTCTCAATAAAATACTCTGGTGTAGGAGCTGTTAGAAGACCATTTCATTTTTTTAACAGCTTGTGGCATGCTGTCATGCTGGAGACTGTGGTCATAGAAACACACTTGCTTCTAATTGCCGAGATAGCTTTGTCCAAACAGTTTTGATTGACACTAACAATGCCAGTGGGCCACCTAAAGTGCAAGGAATATTGTCAAACACGTTGAATTATAGATGGCCTTAAAAAAACAAACTAGCAAAAAAAAAGATCTTGCCCCAAGAACTTCACTTTTCTAAGAAAAACAAATGGTTGTAGTTACATAGGCACAATTGTGAGGATGACAACAATGATGACAATAACAGCAACAACGTGCTGTCAAATCAATTTTGACTTACGACATGCCTAGGTATAAATTACTATCCCATTCTTCTGGTGGCACTCTAGGACTATATAGCTTGCCCAATTAATATCCACACTCCAACTCACTGAGACATCCAGCCAGGTAAATGTGACCATAAAGGGTGACTTATATCGTCACATTTTGGAGCATCATTTTCTTCTTTTATAACCAGACACATCCACACAGTTTGTCAAGCTGCTATCATGTCACTTCCAACTGAGAATGATGCTATACTTTAGTGACCTTCAATAGGTTCCGTCTAATGAACCTAGTTCCGTCATTAGCAGTCCAGCTCAGCTCATTCAACCTCAAGCTTGTGTTCCTCCTTTTTCGAGTTAACTGATTTCTCACATTCGGTCCTCCTCTTTTCCTGCTGCCTTCAACTCTTCCTGGCCTTACTGTCTTTTCTAGTGACTTCTGTCTTCTCGTAACAGGCCCAAAGTATGTGAGTCCCAGTGTAAGTCATTTTTGTTTCTACAGAGTGTTCAGGCTCAATTTGATTCTTTTTGTTGTTTAGTCGTTAAGTTGTGTCCATGGACCAACTTTGTGACCCCATGGACCAGAGCACGCCAGGCCCTCCTGCCTTCCACTGCCTCCCAGAGGTTTGTCAAATTCATGTTGGTTGCTTCGATGACACTGTCCAACCATCTCATCCTCTGTCGTCCCCTTCTCCTCTTGCCCTCACACTTTCCCAACATCAGGGTCTTTTCCAGGGAGTCTTCTTTTCTCATGAGATGGCCAAAGTATTGGAGCCTCAGCTTCAATATCTGTCCTTCCAGTGAACAATTTGATTCTAGCACCCACTTATTTGTCTCTATCTGGTACTCTATGGCATCTAAAACCCTTTTCTCCAATACTAAATTTCAAATGAATTGGTTTATATCACCCTTCTC